CACCTATATTTTTATTACATATGGATCATCTATATTTTTATTACATATGGATGATCTGTATTTTGATTACATATGGATCATCTATATTTTTATTAAATGTGGATTACCTATAGTTTTATTACATATGGATTACCTAAATTTTTATTACATATGGATCACCTATATTTTTATTACATATGGATCATCTATATTTTTATTACATATGGATCATCTGTATTTTTATTACATATGGATCACCTATATTTTTATTACATGTGGATCATCTATATTTTTATTACATATGGATCACCTGTATTATCCACATGTAATAAAAATATAGATGATCCACATGTAATAAAATATAGGTGATCCATATGTAATAAAAATACAGATCATCCATATGTAATAAAAACATCTATATTTTTATTACATATGGATGATCTATATTTTTATTACATATGAATCATCTATATCTTGCATATTAAATAACACCCTTCATCTTTGTTTCTAAGTTCATAGAAAAGGTTAATAACTGCTTACACTAGATAACAAGAAAGAAACAGATGACTTTCAAAATAATATTTACGTAAAAAGAGAAGGCAAACAAATCCAACAACTTCTACTTAAGATAGAGCACATGTTCTACGTTGCTAGCAAATATTGAATAAAACATATTAGATTTACAAGCAAAATAGCTTTAGAAAATTGTTGATCCTTTTTATATCTTAAACAATCTTTTGTTGATATGATGTATAATATTATTTACAACAAAGCTATTAATTATTTTATTACATGTTACAGCTTTTACAGTAAGAAAGATTTGTTTTTAGAACGTTTCGATCACTGGTGCGATCATTCTCAAGTACACAGGTTTTAACGGTAAAGAAGCTATTAAATATATATTGTATACAAACAAAAACAACAACCCTGGTCTATAATTATTAACAAACAATGCTGTTGTAACAATGAAATTGAAAACAAGGGTTAAGCACTTATGAAAAAAATCAATTTAAGGGAAACTTCAACTCAGCGAATAACGCATTATTATGTTGAATATTGTGATGAATTGTTTTACCAACAAATCATTAAATAGCGGGATATTATTCTGTCAAAAAGATTCTGAAATAAATGAAACAGAAGCTACCTCTTTTTATAGTAAGGAAACGATACTCACGACTGTCTGTGGATGTCTAAGGGTTGAATCCTAAAACTTAAAGCGAAAATGAGCAACACCCAAAAATAGTTTAATTGTTATTAGTTTTTACAGTTCCGCATAATAATTACCTTACTGTTGAGTTTCTTCAATTCTGATCTTTTCTCAGATAGATTGAAGACCTGAAAGAAACATAAATAAACCAAGAATTCACAAATACACTTTGAAGGTAATAATGATATTGGGAGTAAACATTAAAGAATAATCCACACTTGTTGAGATGAGGTTACTAGTAAAATTCTATTTTATGAAATGTCCTTCTTCTTGAATTGTAACACTATAAACATATCGGGATAATATGCATGAAGTCATTCTGTTTCACTGTAGAAGAATAACCATTTTTTTACATGAAATATTTATCCAGAACGTTTTAATTGTCAACAATAACTTCAATTCATCTAAAGACAATTAATAATACATGATGAAACTTAGTTGAATGGACAGCAACTGCTTGTTGTATAAACACAAGTGTAGAGGACGACGTTTCGAAAGACTTCCGCCTGAAGACGAAAGACTTTCGAAACGTCGTCCTCTACACTTGTGTTCCTACAACAGACAGTTGCCGTACGTTCACCTAAGTTTCATCACGAATATTCAACCAGATCAATCTATTAGAGAATAATGCTGCATGAAATTTTATACTTAGAAATCAGGCCCATAGACTCGAGGAAGGGGAAGTAGTGGAGCCTGGTTCTACCAAAATCACTTTTTGTCTCCTCATTGAAAATAACAAATTATTGCTGTTTATTTACCACTTCATTGGCGATGGATATTTATAGATTTGTGTTAGCATAAAATAAGTACCGTTTCTACGGAATCCTGAAAATTAGAGAAATTAAAGTTAGATCCAGTCACTTTGTGATGATCCTTTCAGTTATAGGATATATTATCTCATTGAAACCCTATTTTTAGAGTTATAACATTACAGGATTTTATTATCTCATATATAAGATCCTGATACGAACTTTGAGAAATTGATTTGTTTGTTATTGAGCACAAAAGTACACAACGGACTATCTGTGCTGTGCCTACAGCGAGTATCGAATCCCTATTTTTAGCGTTATAAGCATTACAGAATTCGTTATCTTATATATAAGATTCAGTTGCGAACTTTGAGAAATTGATTTGTTTATTATTAAGCACAAAAGTACACAACGGACTATCTGTACTGTGTCCACCGCGAGTATCAACACTCAATTTTTATAGTTATAACCCATCAGACTTACCGTGGAGCCACCAGAGGGCACGAGAGATACAGTGAAATTGAACAGGATCCTTCGTATGCGAAAATAAAATACTGCGAATGATCAAGAACTTTCATTTTCAACCAATACATTTATGAGTGTTTTGTTACGAAATTTAGCAAGAGGGTATTATTATCAAAACAACAAACTAACAATATTGTTTCGTTTAAATTTAATATCAAGTAACAAAGCGACACCATACTATTCCAAGGTACAACATGTGCTATCAAAAATACTGAATTTTATTGTTAAGCAACTAAATTCTTGATCATATTATTGTAAAAAAAAAAAACTTAAAGGGCAGTTGCTGCATTTCATGTAACGGATAAAAAGTTTTAATTAGATACAGAAGCAGGAATCAAGTACTTATTATTTAATGCATCTTCCAATCCACGTTTTAAGCCCTTTACTACTATTACTCCCCACCATATTTATTGTTACATCTCTGGTCGTTTGATAATTTCCCGTAAAAATTCTTCCCGAGAAACTTCAGCGATACAAGTCCTTTCTTAAATAAAACTAGTT